CCCTTGCCAGTCTCAGCAGTAGACAAGGGTCTGCAATCTGATTTGCAAATGAGGTCACCCTGATCACAAAACTAGGTAAAGGGAGCAGTGATGTGTGGTTATTCATATCCATCTTCTGAATCCAGTTAACTATCTCTATTCCACGTTTCCTCTTTATGACAAAAAACAAGATATGAAAAAGAGAACACAAGATTACTCAGAGGGTGGTTGATATGTATAACAGCTTCCTTTTGGTGGGGTTATTACGGAAAAATGTTTTTCAAAATTCCACCAAAATGAATACTTCAAATGTGTTTTTGAATCTTAATTGTACCTCAGTAAAGTAAAATGAAAAACATTAAAAAAAAGAATTTTTTTTTGATTTTACATACCAACCACAGATTCCTCTCTCATTCTTCCCACTCTCCCACAACCTTCACCATTGACCTACTCCACCCCCTCCTCCAAAAGGGTAAGGCTTCCAAAGGCAAAGCCTGGTAAATTCAGTAGAGCCAGGATCAAGTTCCTCCCTCCTGCATCAGGACTGAGTGAGGCATCTCACCCTAGGTATTGGGTCCCAAAAAGCCAGATCATGCACCAGGGATAGATTCTTATTCCACTGCCAGGTGCCACTCAAACAGACCAAGCTACACCACTGTGTCCCATATGCAGAGGGACTAGTCCTGTCCTATGCAGGCTCCACAGCTGCAGAACTAAAGTTCATGCGTTCCACAATTTTGTTTCAGTTCTCTCTGTAGATTTCCCCTCGTGATCTTGACCATTTTGCTCATAAAATCACTCCTCCCTCTCATCAACTGAACTCTAGAGCTCAGCCTGGTGTTTGGTTGTGGATCTCTGCATCTGCTTCCATGAGTTACTCAAGTAAGTCTCTATGATGACAGTTAGGTTCACCAATCTGATAACCAGGGTAGGCCAGTTCAGGCACCCTCTTCACTATTGTTAGTAGTCTATACTGGGGTCATCCTTGTGGATTCCTGGGAATTTGCCTAGCACCTGCTTTTCCCTAACCCAATAATGTCTCCCTTCTTCAGGATATCTCTTTTCATTCCTCTCCCACTCCATTCCTCCCCCAGCTCAACCATCACATTCCCTCTTGTTTTCATCCCCTATCCCCTACTCTCTATTGTCCTCCTGACCCCCAGTTTAGTCAGGATATTTTATCTATTACCCTTCCCAGGATGACCCATGCATCCCTCATACAGTCCTCTTTGTTAGTTATCTTCTTTGGAACTGTGAGATGTAATCTGGATATGTTACATCTAGTATCCACTTGTGAGTGAGTAAATATAATGTTTGTCTTTGTGAATCTGGGTTACCTCACTCAGAATGATAATTTCTATTTCCATCCATTTGCCTGAACATTTCATGATGTCTTTCTTTATTTACAGCTCAGTAATACTCCACTTTGTTTATATACCACATTTTCTTCATCCATTCTTTGGTTGAGGGGCATCTAGGTTGTTGCCATATTCTGGCTATTATGTATAATGTTGCTATGAAAATTGTTGAGTAAATGTTCTTCTGGTATGATTGAGCATGATATGCACAAACATTGTATCCTTGGGTGTTGGGGCATATTGATACCCAATTTTCTGAGAAGTCACCTTACTGATTTCCAAAGAAGCTGTACAAGTTTACACTCCCACTAGTAGTGTAGGAGTGTTCCCCTGACTCTACATCCTCTCCAACATAAGCTGTCTCCAGTGTTTTTCATCTTAACCATTCTGACAGGTGTAAGATAGTATTTCAGAGTCCTTATATTTTCATTTCCCTGATGACTAGTATGTTAAACAATTTCTTAAATGTCTTTCAGCCATTTGGTATTCTTTTGAAGAGAATTCTCTGTCTAGATCTGTACCCCATTTTTTTTAATTTGATTGTTTGGTATTTTGATTTCTAGTTTTGAGAGTTCTTTATGTATTTGGATGTCAACCCTCTGTCAGATGTGGGGTTGGTGAAGATCTTTGCCTATTCTGTAAGCTGTCATTTTGCCATATTTATCACATCCTTTTCCTTACAAAATCTTCTCAGGTTTCAGAACTTCCATTTATTAAGTGTTGCTCTCAGTTTTTGTGCTACTGGTGTTGTATTTAGGCAGCGGACCTCAAAAAGTACAATACCCAACTTCATATAGAAAAACAAAACAAAACAAAACAAAAAACAACAACACAGGATAGCTCAAACTATCCTGTACCATCAAACAACTTCTGGAAGCGTCACCATCCCTGACTTCAAGCTTTATTATCGCTTGGTATTGATTGTTCTTTCTGATGAGCTCTCCTCAAAGTTCTCAACACTTGCTTCAATATCCTCAATAATAACTGAACATGAGGAGTTGCCTAAAATTAATGGCAGTTCTGTTTAATTAATACCAAAAGCTCTATAAGCTGTTTTTCCTTCACTTTCACTGCATTTTCTTTTAACGTACATTTTAATAATTGCAATATTATTGTTCCTGAGGAGGGAAGTTTCCCATGAACCCCTGCTAATCCTGGAGTCCCCTTACCCTGAGAGTGATTTCCTTCAGTCCTCAGAGATATCTGGAATCCTTTGTCTTTCTTTAAGCTCCACATTTTGCATTAATATCTTGTATATTGAGTGTGGGTATAGGTTCAGGCAGATATGTAAAAAGTTGTACAGTGGCACATCAAAATGATTTTTTTTTCTTTTCTAGCTGTAGGGTGGATTCACTTCTATGGACTGAACCACCCTGGTGAGTAAAGGATCCTTTATTGTTTTACAAATCACACCTTTAACAAGTTAATTCCATATACCAAAGTCTTTGGCCTAAGCTCCCAAAATGGATAATGCCAAATGCAAATTCTCTATTTTACCATAGTTTTTTTTGGGAGGTTGAATTTTTGTTACTAAGTTGCCATAGGCTTTGATCCCCTAGGAAAACTCTCAGATAAAACTTCAAACACAAGGTATGGAGACAAGGGTAACAATCACAAAAGGCAGATCAAGGCTAGATGTTAACACTCTGATGTTAAACCGGGTTTAGCTGGTAGGAATTCTTCCTTCAGGTTTCATGAGTCTAAGGTCCATCTTTTCTACAAAGTGAGTTCAAGAACATCCAGAGGTAAAAACTGAGACCCGGTCTCAATAAAAAGAAACATATTTGAAAATGTTTGCTCATATCCCTCTAAGGATCACTTATAAAACTCACTGTATCACCCACTAGATTTGGATAGAATCAGGTGTGTGTCTCTGTCATTGATATACCTTCTTGGGGAAGTAGACATTCAGTATTCATGTATCCCCAAGACAAATTCAAACAAAATACCAAAAGCATATCTAGGGGTGGGTGGAAAGCTGTCCATGATAAGGAACCTACAGCATTATGAGTGTGGTCTGGCTGAATTGATAGAGAAACAAACAGAAACGCTGACAGGACAAGATCAGCTCTGAGCACCCTCTTCTGAAGGTGTTGGTTCAGGAAGATACCAGGATTATTTCTAGTTAAGTCAAGTCTTTGGTGAAGAGGACCATGCAAGCAAATATAGATGGGTATATGGGAGATGCTCTGCAAAAAGAGACCACAATCAGATATGGGTTTGTAAACCTAGCACACAAGAAGCTGACTGAGAAAGGGGAGGAGATTTAGACATGCCCGATTTCAGGAGGCTTCCTCTCAGAAACCAAAACCAAAGAAACCCACAGGGACAGAGACCACATGTTTTGGAGCCCCACCCTTCACAGCAGTGGGAAAACAAAACCACTTGCCTAGAAAGAGCAGTTCCTGTTTTTGAAAGGACTGTCTGTATCACATACTCTCGACGAGGAGGCACCATACTGCACAGGCAATATACTTTGTGTCTGTACTTTTTGCAAGAGGACAAACCATCTGCAAACTTTTGGCAATTGGGAGATGCTATGATCCCCACCGTCATAGTTCTGTTTTGTCTTGGTGAGAAATGACGTTGTGGAGAGAGAATTCTGTTCTAAGAAGTAGTCTTCCTCACAGTTGAGCAGTAATCCATCAGGGTCTCTCAGTACCTCAGAAGGGATCTGGAAGTGGTAGTCCTGCTCAGGCTTCAAGGACATACGCTCACAGGTAACTCTCTTGCAGGACTGAGTCTGGGCCCAAGGAACCCAGTGATGGCAGGTGAGTGTCTTCCCAGCTTTTCTAGGGTATGCACGCTCAGTGGGAATCAATGGTGAACTCTGAAGAAAAGAGATAGAGAAGAGCTGGTGTGGGCTGATGCTGGTGTTGCCTGCAAGTTCCTGAGATTGAGAGCTTGGAATTAAGCAGGATGTCCTCTGAGCTAGCTCCCATTTTTTGTTGCTATTGTTGTTTGTTTGCTTTGCTTTGTTTTGTTTTTTGTTTTTCTTTTGATTTGTTTTGTTTTCAGGGGGCCTCTCAAAACCCATACTCAGAGCTGTGCCAAGAAACGTGGTAACCATTGAGAAGCAGGTAACTCTACTTTGTGAAGGCCCCTTAGATGCCCAGGAATACCATTTCTATAAAGAAGGTAACCCAGATTCCCAGGTAACAACAGCTCATGAAGACACTGAAAAAAATGACAAGATCTTTATCTCATCCATTAAAAGTCATGAAGCAGGCCAGTATCGGTGTTATTATAAAAGCCCTGATGGCACATCTGAACACAGTGACACCCTGGAGTTGGTGGTAACAGGTGAGTGGAGACTCAGGAATCATATGAATTCCCAGATGTGACCCTTTAGAAAAGTCTTCTCTGAATGTATTCCCAATCATTACTCAGGTCTGGGGACAATCCAGACTGTGTAAACCCATTTAAAAGTCCATATGTATCTTTCCTAGGTATCTACAACAAACCCACCCTGTCTGTACTGCCAAACCCTGTTGTTGCCTTAGGAGGATCTGTGACCATTTCATGTACCTCAAATCAGGGATATGATGGGTTCATTTTAATTAAGGATGAGCAGTTCTACAGATCCATGGACTCACAATATGTATATACTGGTCAGTCTCCAGCCAG